AAATTTCGTTAACCACTCGAGTTGCGACAATAGCAGGATTATTGAGAACTGTTCTAACAATCTGTCTGTCCATTCTCCTGTTAGTAATACGTCGACGACCCTGACCACTTCGTCTAGTGAAACTCCGAATGTCCAGAAAACGATTCCAAGCTCGATTAACAGTCGATTGACTTACATCCAAACGTCTTGCAACATAACGCTGATTAAATCCTTCACGCAGCAGAGCAACAATTTGAGCTGCCTGCCCTTCTGTGAGTTGTCTTCTTGGCATTTCGAAAAGAAAATACACTTTCGATAGATTTGCTACGCCACTGAAACTACGGCAACACTTTGCGCGTTGTCGTAGCAAAGTAGTCGCGACTTGAAGTGAAGTTGTCGCGAATTGAAGTGAACTTGCCGCGAATTGTAGTGAATAACAGACAACTTTGTTACGACAACGCGCAAGTGTTGCCGTAGTTTCAGTGGCGTAGCAAATCTATCGAAAGTTTATTTTCTTTTCGAAATGCCAAGAAGACAACTCACAGAAGGGCAGGCAGCTCAAATTGTTGCTCTGCTGCGTGAAGGATTTAATCAGCGTTATGTTGCAAGACGTTTGGATGTAAGTCAATCGACTGTTAATCGAGCTTGGAATCGTTTTCTGGACATTCGGAGTTTCACTAGACGAAGTGGTCAGGGTCGTCGACGTATTACTAACAGGAGAATGGACAGACGGATTGTTAGAACAGTTCTCAATAATCCTGCTATTGCCGCAACTCGAGTGGTTAACGAAATTTGTCAACAAAATCGCGTTAGTGATCAGACTATTCGGCGACGACTGCATGAAGCTGGTTTAAGAAGCAGAAATCGCGTACGTGTTCCAGCGCTAACACTAAATCATCGTCGTGATCGTCTAGAATATGCACAAACTCACGTACAGTGGACTGTACGACAATGGAGAAATGTTTTATTTACCGATACGATTCCAAGCTCGATTAACAGTCGATTGACTTACATCCAAACGTCTTGCAACATAACGCTGATTAAATCCTTCACGCAGCAGAGCAACAATTTGAGCTGCCTGCCCTTCTGTGAGTTGTCTTCTTGGCATTTCGAAAAGAAAATAAACTTTCGATAGATTTGCTACGCCACTGAAACTACGGCAACACTTGCGCGTTGTCGTAACAAAGTTGTCTGTTATTCACTACAATTCGCGGCAAGTTCACTTCAATTCGCGACAACTTCACTTCAAGTCGCGACTACTTTGCTACGACAACGCGCAAAGTGTTGCCGTAGTTTCAGTGGCGTAGCAAATCTATCGAAAGTGTATTTTCTTTTCGAAATGCCAAGAAGACAACTCACAGAAGGGCAGGCAGCTCAACTTCGACTGAGAGATCTTCCCAATCAGTCTCAAAATTTACAGGAATTGGGCGATGCTCTCCATCTAATCTGGCGCGAAATTCCTCAAAACTTAATTCAGCGATTTATAAACATGCGGATACGCTGTCAAGAAGTAATTCAACAGAGAGGCGGTAACACACAATTTTAAAAAATGCATTTTCACACACACACACACATACACACACACACACGAGGTGTAAGTCCGACCGTGTAACCTCCCCGTGGTACACCTCGGGTAATGCTAATACCGGCGGCAAATTAAAAAAAATTTTTAGAGGAAAGACTAAAAAATGCAATATTTATTTCAAATTACTCATTGTCAGTGAAAAAGATTTTAACGTGATGATTAATAATCATCTTTAAGAGGAAGTGTTGAATTTAACTTACAATTAAAGAAATTTGTTATGGTTTTAAAACGCTTTATCGCGCTTCGCGACCATTCTTCGCGGAGATATGCGAAATTCGAATTTGATCCTTTTTAACATTGATTTTAAATGACTTTAATTTTGTTAAAAAAACTGCAGGCAAACTTCAACATAAAATAACTTCGTCAAAAATAATCGTATCGAAATGTTTAAAAAAGTATTTTAAAGCTTGAAATCTCTACTTTTCAGATTGGTATTCCAAAAAATGATCTTACTGATATTTCGTAAAGTTACACGAACATAAACAAAAGTGCGTCAAAACCTGAAAATTTTATACGAAATTTGAGAAGTTCCACGGAGCCAAGTAAAAATTGTGCACAAATGCGGTTTACAGCTTTCGAAAGAGTGAATCTTTACCTTCAATTTGCTTTTTTGTTGAGCTCTGTACGATTTTTTTTCACCGAGTTATTTAACGTTGAAGGTAAAAAGAAAGGTAAAATGGCCATTTTTACTTAAACGTTACATAACTCGTTGAAAAAAAATCGTACAGAGCTAAAAAAAAAAACAAATTGAAGGTAAAGATTCGTTCTTTAGAAAGCTGTAAACTGCATTTGTGCGCAATTTTTATTTCGCTCCGTGGAACTTGGTAAATTTTGTAAAAAATTTTTAGATTTGACACATTTTTATTTATGATTGTGCAACTTCACGAAATATCAGTAAGACCGTTTTTTGAAGTACAGGTCTGAAAAGTAGAGATTTCAAGCTTTAAAATGCTTTTTTAAACATCTCGATACGATGATTTTTGACGAAGTTATTCTATCTCAAAGTTTGCCTATTTTTCCAGGGTGGGACAAGTGATCCCTTAATTTTGTTGAGTAGTGAATTTCATAAAAAATTTAAGAATTATTTAGTTCAAAACATTTATTTTAAATTGAAGTATAGGAAATATAATTTTTCAACGTTTTTTGGTATTAATTTACTTCGTGTGGCTGTTGTTCCATCATCGAACTTGTAATTATTCTTTCATTATGTTTCGAAGTTAAATGTCGTAAAAGGCAACTTGTATTACTATATTTCGTTTGAAATTCTTGATCACAAATAGAACATTTCACTTTATGTTGACTTATTTTTCTAAAATGCTGCCAAACGAAACTTTTATTTCGTCGTTGCCTTTCTAAAGACACATTTTCACTGTTTGAATGCGTCGACTTATTATTATCTTCATCACTCTCTTCCTCACTAATAGAAGACATTTTTTAATTTCACAATTAATTTAATCACTCTATACGATATGTACTCGTAATGATAGTTTCCAACCTACTGAATAATATTATACGATATGTCATATGAATCAGTTCTGTAGTCTTTGATTTTGTAATATTTATAAGCAGCGTTGTATCAACATGTATATAGAATTGTATTTACATAGAAACTATGTGAACATAGTTCTATATAATATTATTAAGATCTAATAAGATGCTATAAGCATCAAATATCGTTAAATTGCGTGTCAATTTAACTAGTGATATTACTACGGTAGTTATTTAGAGTTGCGTTTGTAAAAGACTGAAAATATTTCGGCGCGCGATTAAAGAAGACTACATACGTGGTAAATAAATTCACACATTACTGTAGCAACCTAAATCTTGCTTGACCGTCATTTGGCCTTTATTCAATTTATTCTATACATCTTATATTAATGGGAAGAGACAGGGACAGTTGAAGATAGTAATAACTTGACGCATGCAAATAGTGAAAATGAGTCTTTAGAAAGATAACAACGAAATAGAAATTACCCGATTAGAATTACTATCTTTACCATATTTTTTAATAATTAATACGTTGAGAATGGCGAATAAGAGTCAATCTAAATCTGATAATATATTCTAATATTCTATATTGCGAAGAATATCACGTAATGTTTGGCGTTTCGTCCCGGCTTCCACTACTGGACTCATCAGTAAGGTATTGTAGTGGAAGCCTACCTTAGACGCCGGTGTAAGTTATTAAATCGAGATTCTATATAAAGAGATATACGCGTGTCTCAGCACTTGCGAGAATTTGCGAATATCGATAGACCTCTGATGGCGGGTCGACGTAGTAATATTCTTCGCAATATTTATCCAAAGTGAGAAATAACGTTCTAATTATATATAGTCCCCCCAAATAATCTGATTTTTAAATGTCCCCTCTTCTTAATTGTTGCGCGCCGAAAGATTTTTCGGTCTTGCAACGCAACTCTAATAATCTGAAATATCCCCCCTCCTAAATATTTGCGCGCCGATGGATTTTCGGTCTTGAAACGCAATTAATCTAGAAACTGTAAATTTTTACTTAATGAACAGAATTGCAATGTATTATCCGCGTTATTACAACCTGCGGTTTTTTGAAAACAAATAATTGAAGAAATAAAGGAGGGGGGATATTTCAGATTATTAGAGTTGCGTTGCAAGACCGAAAAATCTTTCGGCGCGCAACAATTAAGAAGAGGGGACATTTAAAAATCAGATTATTTGGGGGGACTATATATAATTAGAACGTTATTTCTCACTTTGGATAAATATTGCGAAGAATATTACTACGTCGACCCGCCATCAGAGGTCTATCGATATTCGCAAATTCTCGCAAGTGCTGAGACACGCGTATATCTCTTTATATAGAATCTCGATTTAATAACTTACACCGGCGTCTAAGGTAGGCTTCCACTACAATACCTTACTGATGAGTCCAGTAGTGGAAGCCGGGACGAAACGCCAAACATTACGTGATATTCTTCGCAATATAGAATATTAGAATATATTATCAGATTTAGATTGACTCTTATTCGCCATTCTCAACGTATTAATTATTGTTTAGAAAAAGAGTCCTTTATTTCTTCAATTATATTTTTTAAGTTTTTGTGAGTTTAGAAATTTTTACATATAAAAAAAACTACAAACTGAAAAAATGAAAAATTTTCTTTTCACTTTGGAATTCTCTCACGTATCTATAAAGAATTTGCAATAAATCGAATAGTTTCGGGTCCCGAATCAAGAATTTCGGGTACGAACATTCGGGACCCGTCCGACCCGACCCGATTATTACCCACCCGACCCGACCCGCTTTTTCGGGTACCCGCACACCCCTAAACGCAATACATTTTCCCCTTTGGGAAATAAATCGCTTTAGTGCATTGAGAAAGACCGTGGCAGTCAAATCAGACACTAACTCAAAGTGTACGGCTTTTGTGGCTAGGCATATGGAAATTGCTAGGTAGGATTTGCCTGTCTGATTTCTCGATATTTTTATACTGAATGGGCCGGCTTAATCTATTCCAGTGTTAAGGAACGCTCTGGCCTGAGTAACTCTAACCGCCGGCAGATCTCCCATCAGTTGATTCAAGCTATTTGGCTTTGCGCGAAAACAAACAATACATTTTCTTAATATTCTACGCACTTTGCTCTTACCAGCTATTGGCCAAAAATTGTTACTTATTGATGCTAGAACCGCTTGCGATCCTACGTGCAGATTTTTATAATGTGCATCCCTTATTATTAAATCAGTGAGATGGTGCCTTTTCGGTAATACGATAGGATGCTTTTGTGAATATTCTATTGGTGCGTGATGGAGCCTTCCTCCCACACTAATGACACCGTTAGAATCAATGAATGGATGCAACGTTAAGAGTTTACTTTTTACATCTACCCTTTTTTTTACACAGATCTTTTAGTTCTTGTGCGAACTCGCTCGCTTGACAGATCTTAACGATTGCCGATACTGCTATCTCTCATTCCTTTACCGTTAATGGTCCGCTGGACTGATTTGTAGTTTTTAAGGAATTGTTCTTAAAACGAAAACAATAGGCTATTACGCACTTTAATTTAGTAAATGACGAGAACCTTTTAATAATAGTTGAATCAAGTTCAATTGACGTAAGAGCTATTGGATTTACCTTACATCTTTCTAGTATGTGATTCTCATTGCCCTTGCAATCGTATGGCTGTATTTTCGCGTCATCCTGCAGGAATTTTGGGCCTTCCCACCAGATTGTCATCGACTTTAGTATATCAGGGTTGACTCCTCTAGACAGCGGGTCAGCGGGATTATCTTCCGACTTTATGTGATACCACGCTGCCTTATTGATGCGATGGGTCTCAGCGACCCTGTTTGCAACAAATGTATGCCATTTACTAGGCTCATTTCCAATCCATGACAGAGTTATCGTCGAATCGCTCCAATAATATATATTGTGCGCAGCAATGTTTAGTGCGTGTGCCTTTTTCGAAAAGGCGCGCTAATAAGACTGCTCCACATAATTCCAGTCTAGGCAGTGATAATTTCTTTAAGGGAGCTATTCTCGACTTGGCGCATAATAACCATACTATATATATATATTTGCGCTTGTGATGCTGCGAATGTATAGGCAAGTGCCATATGCCGCTTCAGATGCGTCGCAAAATCCATGCAATTCTACTTGACTCTGACTATTTTCTATTAACTTTCTGGATATCTTAATCTGCTGAATGTTGTGAATTTGAGACCTCCATTGCCTCCACATTTCCAATATTTCTTCTGTGATTGGATCATCTCAGTCTTTATTGGTCTGCCACAGGCGTTGTAATATTATTTTTGCTTTGATTATGCTTGGTCCCAACCATCCGATAGGATCGTGTATCTGCGCCACCTGGGCTAACACCTTGCATTTAGTGACTTTGCCTGTTTCTTCGGATAATCTCAATTTATAATGGAATGTATCATGGTTTGTGTCCCAATGCAATCCTAATATCTTTGTGGGCTTTCCAATTTTTACTATGGAGTTATTGCGAGTATCTTGATCGCTAATTTCTAGTACGTTGGATCTCCATTTTCGTATTTCGAACCCGGCGCTATTCAGTATTTCAACTATGTTTTGTTTTAGCTCCTTGAGATCCTCAACTGTAGATGCTCCCGTCAATAAGTCATCCACATAGAAATCGTTTAATATGGCACCACTTGCGTCAGGATGCTCCTTTTGGTGCTGCAATGCTACTTCTTGAAGGCATCTAATCGCTAAAAAAGATGAGCTGGCTAAACCATACGTAACTGTGTTGAAGCGAAATGTGCGGATAGACTCTTCCTCGCTCCATCTCCAAAGAATCCGCTGGAGATGAGCATGCTCTTCGGCAACTTTGACTTGCCGATACATTTTGGCAATGTCCGCAGACATAGCATATTGGTGCTGACACTGCTGACGCAGTCGAAGAATAATACAGAATATATCTTCTTGGATGTGGCGTCGAGTGGCTCACCGCTCGGTGCGATTGACTCGCGATCTGTAGACCCGAGTTCAATCCCACGTGCGCCCAAATGCGATTTTTCGCGTTTAATGAGCCAAAAAATGGTTCCACCTGGTGATCAAAAGATCTATGATCATCAGCGCCATTTGGATTCGGCGTTAAATTGTAGGTCCTATACATCAGTATACATCAGTAGATATTTGTCTCTGATATCTGACTGAGGTAAGATTCTGTGGATCAATCACCCACAAATCTGAAAACAATTTGATTCGAGAGAAACGAATATAGGCCTTGGACAAAAGTGGAAGAGGCCTGTAGACGTCCTATGCTCCACATGAGGAGATAAAAGGAGTCATCATCATCATCTTCTTGGATCCGGCTTGGATCCGGAGTGGGTCCGACTCTGAGACAGTCATTTAGTGATATTCCAATGGAGCTCTTGCATGATGCGTCAAATACCACCCTGACTTTCGTTGTATCGCTGTCTTTCTTCGTAACTGCATGATGCGCAAGGTAATAAGACAATTTAGATTACGCATGTTCTGGCAATACTTCTTCCATGTGATTTAAACTTAGGTATTCCGTTATGAAGTCGTGATAGGCTTGCTTAAGTTCTGGTTGTCTTTTGAGCTTCCGCTCTATTTTGCCTTGAAGCGTTTTGCGGCTGCTACACTGGAGTCGCCTAACTCGTCAATGTTGTCCTTCAGCGGTAACCGAACTATGAATTGACCTTCTAAATCTCTGACGTGCGTCTTTACGAAGTGCTCTTCACATAATTTTTCTTCTTTAGAGATGGGTGATGATTGCTCTATTTCATCCATGCTCCAAAATTTTTCGAGCTGCTTGTGCAAGGTTATGGTCATCCCACAATAGGATTTCTTTCTTTGACACGTATTAGTCGCTGTTAGAGAACCTGCAACGATCCAGCTCAGAAGAGTTTCTTGAAATACGAGAGATCGATTTGATCCTCTGATTTGCCCTCCACGCATGAGATCCCAGAATATGGAAGCTCCTATTAATATATCCACGTCACGAGGAATGTGATACGTTGGATCCGCTAATTCTAAATTATTTAGAATATCTACTACTGCTTTATTTATTCTGTATATCGGCAATTGTTCTGTGATCTTGTCAATAACCGAATGTAGTAAATTTGGCTTTAACGCGGCCTCTCTGCTTAATCGAGCTTGAAATTTCATCCATTCTGTAACAATTTTTAGCCAATTAATACGAACGTTAAAAATATGTGACGTGAGATAATACAATGTAAGCGAAAATACAACACAAGCGATACTACAGTACAATAACGATACAACACGAGCGCATTAACTATTAATGTCGCGAGCTAATTTACCTTTTTACAGGAATAATTGCTATTACTTATCTACTCGTTAAGGTACAAATAATTTCGCTGCGGGATCCTTTTGATTTCCCGAGAGAATATTCCACCGTCACGTCCTTGAAAAATGACGAGGCAGCTCTTAGAATGGCATGCGGGAGGCTGGATGTCACCTTGGTAGCGTACGAAGGAGATCGCACGTCGCTTCCTGCGATTATAGTTCCGTATCGGAGCTGGGATGCTTCAGACGCGCTTTGCGTTTCTGGATCGACAAAGATGCCGTACACTTGCTGGCAGTGCAAAGAAAAAAGGCGGCAATGTCGGCTACGCCCGTATATCCGTGCAAGAGACTGCACGCTGCTAGCAGTGCGAAGAAAGGCGGCAATGTCGGCTACGCCTTATGTCTGTGCAAGAGACTGCACCCTGCTAGCAGTGCGAAACAAGGCGGCAATGTCGGCTACGCCTTATGTCTGTGCAAGAAAGTGCACGCTGCTAGCTGTGCAAAGGAAGGCGGCAATGTCGGCTACGCCTGTCGCTTCTTTTGAGATAATGTACTGCCCGTCGCCTTCTTACTGCGTTCGGGCTTAAAATACAATGATGTGTCTCGCGTGCACTGTTTACGAGTCGATGATTGTTCCCTTTTGAATTTCCGTTAACGTTGCTAAGCGGCCATACCATTCGCGCGCGTGCCTCTTCTAGAACGACGCGTAACGACCACTGCACGCTTTGTACTCATTATTATTGTGATGTGGCGCTTCTTCATAGTTATATATATGTTTGCCACCTTAAGGTGTTGATCACAAAGAAAATCTCTAGTAACTAGTGGCCCCTGATAGGCCGTAGCCAGCGCCCGTTGCGGGTCGGTAAGATAGACGCGGATAGCACCGCTAACAATAATCCACACCGCTGCATTCGAACGGTTTGGACGGCGTGACTCTATATGCAGGTAAATTACTCATGATTGCTTTGGATACACGCGGATCTGCTTTGCGACAAGTTATAAAGTCTCTGACACATTTCCTGACACTGTTTCTCGCTGATAGAGGCCAATATATATTGCGGATGGCGGCTAATGTAGCTTGCGCCCCTGAATATAGTTGTCTTTGATGCTTATAGCGTATGATCAGACACGTAAATGGATGATTTGCCGGTAGTAAAATCGGGTGCTTCGCATCAGGTGAGATTGCTGCCTTCTGTAAACATCCGCCCACTCTAATAATGCCATGTTCATCAATGAATGGAGATAAACACATCAACTTACTTCTTCGCGATACGCTTCCCTGTGTTCTTATTGCATGTAGATCTTGTTCAAATGCGGTCCGTTGAACCATTTTCATGAGACTCAAATTAGAATTCAATAGTTCCTGGATGGTTATGCACCCTACAGATTGGCTTGACCTTTTGCATTGATTACAAACCTTATACAAAGAGCATTGAATCTAATTAACTTATTCAAGGATGAGAACCTTTCAAACAAGTCTGGTTCATCCTTGGCACTGATCATAGTCTTGAGAGTATGTCTCTGTTTTGGCAATTCGTTGAGTGACATAGGCGGAATATTTGTGCGCCAATTATGAGCTTCCCCTCTTAACCATGGTGGGCCAGACCACCAGAGGGTAGTATTGATTAAGGTAGAAGAGAGCCTCTAGATATATAATCAGCCGGGTTGCACTCTGTAACAACATGAAACCAACTGTCTGCTTGTGATAGTCGATGGATTTCACTAAGCCTGTTAGTGACGAAAACATTCCAACTCTTTTCTTTAGCTTTCATCCAGTGTATCACTATCATGAAGCTCGTCCAATAGTATATCGCCTTCGGTTTGAAACGTATGGCCCTCAATATCTTGTCCACTAATTGTGCCAGCAGTAGTGCTCCGCATCCCTCCAATCGCGGTAGAGTAATTGTTTTTAGAGGAGCGATGCGAGACAGTAGTCGCGCAAAAACTTGATTCCTTGCGTCAGTGATCCTAAGATAAACGCAGGCTCCATACGCCTCCTTGCGTCTGAGAAACCATGGATCTGAATGTTGGTTGCATCCTTGCATGCTACGTAGCGCGGGACCTCGAAGTTACTAATCATATTTAACTGAGATTCGAATTTCGCCCAAGCGGTGTGTAAGCTCATAGATACGGTTAGAGATCCTATAATCAGAGTTTGGCCAAAGCGGACCAAAGATGGCGGATAGAAAGAGACAACAGATATTACTTTCTTTCTCGTATTACACATACGCAGAAAGCGTGACACTGTGTCAAAAAATAGGTAACAGTAGGCCATATGGTGATATGGTTATAAACAAACACCTTATGTCCACGATGTTAAAAATCGCCCTGAAGTCTCAGTGAAGAAATTGGCCAATCGAGTTAATCAATTGGCTGAATTATTCAATTGTAATTTATTAATTTTCTTTATCCGGGATCTTGGAACAGTTTCTAACCTTTTTGAGACAAGGCTAATTAGAACTATCCGTCTCTTTCTATTTTTCGAACTCGTTTTCCGACAATGTATGAAGCTATCCGAAGAATACCGAATGGACCAAGGTAGAGAACCAATCAGAAGTTGTGCCCGCTTTGACCAAACTCTGATTATAGGATCTCTAGATACGGTTTCATCCCATGCCAAATTAAGCTGTCAGACTTGTTGTATAAGCATCTTGGCTATGAGTATTGTAACAACCTGATTTTGTACTCGGACTAGCTCGTCGTATAAGCGGATCGCACAAAAAGGTTCGGCAGGAGGAGTATTCGCGTCGGATCGGTATTTCGGGAATAGTAAAAAGAAATAATATAAAAGTAATAGTTAAGAAACGAATACAATTTATTACAGATAAAAGCGAAATAAAATAACACTGAAAGATGTAGTATAAAAGCAAAAAAAACGATATAATACAGAAAGCGCAATGATATAATACGGGAACGAACGCGAATAACGATGATACGGAAACAGAATAGTAAAATGGACGCGGACAATACAACGATACTTAATTCTAATCACGCGAAGTATTTACAAACGGTCGCGAGGTGTCAGCAGGTACCGGGACGTGTGATTTCGGCGGTTCGCGCGTACGGCGAGGCGATCCTACTGACGTCGCGAGTTTTTCGGTCGCTCGCTGATTCGCGGTAATTGACGGATCTTACAAGGCGGCGACTAGCAACACGGTGGAACGCGGGTATACGCCAGCACGTAAAGCCCGTTCTTCATTAGTTGCAAGCACCCAATCGCATAGTCGTAAGGAGTACCTACTTCCGGTACATTGTCGCGAACAGCAATCGCAAGGTTTGGCCAAAACCAAAACTTGCGCCTCCGTGATTTTGCGACAACCAATGAGCATCGAGCTCCCCTCTATTTGGCTTGTTCCTCTTGTTTGTTTTGATAACCTATTTGTGGTAATAAGTGTTAAAATAAATTAGTCATAGATTGAAAATTTTATAATAATGAGTGATTTCGACTATAATTATGAAGAGGATTTTGGGGAGGATGAACGCGGATTGTGTACGCAAGCAAATTATGAAAATGTCGAAAATGATGATGTGGATGAAGTAGATCGAGAAATAATAAGACTCGTAAAAATTAATCCGGGGCTGTGGGACAAGAAGTCTAAAACATATAGTAATGCTGTACAAAGAGATAAGGCTTGGGAATCTGTAGCATCACTTTTGTCAGTTCAAATGACAGGTAAAAATGAAAACTTCATAATTTAATATATAACTTTCAGTTGTTAATTTTGATGCTGAAATATAAATTGTTTAGGATCTGAAGCAGCAAAAAGATTTCGCACACTGCGAACAATATTTGGTAGCCACTTTAAAAAAGTAAGATGTTCTCAACCGAGATCTGGGTCAAATTGGTTCATTTATCAGCCATCTTGGCCGCTTTATGAAGAATTGCTTTTTTTGGCTGACGTTATAAAACCACGAAAGTAAATATACTTAAGTTATATTAATTTAGAAATTATTTCTAATAATTTCTTAAATTAATTATTACAAATTCTTTTTATTTTTAGTACAAAATCAAACATATCTGTTAAGTCAGTAAGTATATTGAAGTCAAGAGATAACAATCGTAACAGGCAACAACGTAATGCATCTATTGGATGAAACAAAAGTTGGTCACAACCTGGCTCTAGCTCAAATTCTACACATACCAGCTGTAGCGCAAGTTCTTCACATAGTTCAATCTCTTAAAAAAACCTTTTTTTAAAAAAAGGAAAAACATACGCTAAGTGCATAAAAATATATTGAACTTCTTGATCAAAAACAGATATGAGCCTAAATATAATTGACCAAGTGTATTCTTCATTACGCCAGTCACATAAGACAGACCGAAAGTGACTATAATTGTCAATTGGATTATAGTGAAGAAAAAACTTGGCGTGCCCGGGTCGCATTAATTGTAAACAGTATGCAGTAAAAACATTATTTCAACATAGTTTTTGCATTATAAATTAAAATAACAGACATATGTATACAGATATAATATCATATATACGTATAACATTTCTGTATGGTGAAACATGTAATGCTTTAATTTTGTTGAGCAATTTATAATGCATAAATATATTAATAATTGTATGAATGTTTATTAGGAGCTACATAAATCTTACCGCACTGTTGGTGTTCAGATTCTATTGTATCGTTATTCGTTTCTTCATTTTGATTCACCTATTTAGAATCAATTCTCTGATCGATCCTGGATATTTTTTTCAATTTACTTTACTGTAACGTTCCGTTATATTAATACCATAGTTTACACATTCTAAATGTATGTAGACACCTTAACTTTCGTACTTTTCCACCTAAAATCATAAAAAAAATGTAAAAATTTAATAGTATCAAATTTTAATGAACTATCATATTTTAATGAACATCTATCATTAAATGTTATAAGGAAGTAACTGAAAGCTGTGTCAAAGTAAGAGTTTGTTGTAAGATAAGAGAAATTTATAATTAGAATGACACCTTTGACATTGGATAATTGTTAGATTGTTTGATGATATAATTACTTTTATGCACTGGTTACATTTTAAACGTATAGATCGAGGATAGTACGGTTGAATTTTAAATAATTTGTTGTCATATATAAGCATGTCGAGATCTTGGTAACGACTAATCCAAGGTTTTCAATCCAAGGTCAACTAATCCTGTGTTTCTCTATTATATATGTACATATACATACGTGTATGTACTTATGTATATGGGGAAAAATCGAACATTTTATACATACATATATATGTATATATATATATATATATATAATGAAAGGTAATGTTTTGAAAAATGGTATTGATTTTAACGTATAAATTTGATTCGTTTTAATGTAACTTTCGGCCGATTTTCGAATCGCCTCCGCTTTCCCCTACACCCTTCATTTCATTAAATACGTATATATTTTAAATAAAATTATTTTAAATACTCCCGACTGCTAACTGGTATGATATTTAAACCAATCGACTGTCATGAGACATTTTGACTGCACGCGGAGCGTTGAAGGGGACAGTGCAACTTTCGGTTAATCATTTACTTCTAGTTATTATATATTGACCGATATTCTAATTTTTAAACAATAACAAGAAAGAAGGAAGCACAAAGCGAAGCCTATCGGTCAAAGCTAGATCAAGATGCTTATTATCATTAAGTGTGAATTTATATACCGTGTATGTAGTTCTGTCAATCGCGTGCCGAACATTTTTTCAGACTTACAACGCAACTCTAAATAACTACCGCGGTAATATCACTTTAGTTAGATTGACAATACAATCTAACAAATTTCGATGCTTATAGCATCTTATTAGATCTTAATAATATGTTGAAAGACATATATTAAAATTCAATATTAAATTAATGATAATTGAAAACTGTGAAAAATAAGATTGCGAAGAATATCACAAGTTGGCGTTTCGTCCCGGCTTCCACTACTGGACTCATCAGTAAGGTAATGTAGTGGGAGCCTACCTTAGACGCCGGTGTAAGTTATTAAATCGAGACTCTATATAAAGAGACATACGTGTATTTCAGCACTTGCGAGAAATTTTAACGAATATCAATTGAATAGACCTCTGATGGCGAGTCGACGTAATAATATTCTTCGCAATATCTGTCTATAAGAGTAGTAATAATAACGTCATTTTCAGGCGACGTATATTTTAACAAATAATAGAATCTTATTTTACGACCGTACATTGTTAAACAATAACAAGAAAGAAGGAAGCACAAAGCGAAGCCTATCGGTCAAAGCTAGATCAAGATGCTTATTATCATTAAGTGTGAATTTATATACCGTGTATGTAGTTCTGTCAATCGCGTGCCGAACATTTTTTCAGACTTACAACGCAACTCTAAATAACTAGCCTACTTATTCTAATTTTTAATTGTGTCTAAAGCGGCTAAGTATTTTATTGTATTCTTTTTCTTTAGA